ACTGTGATCGAAGCTCGCAAATTGGTGATATTTGGTTGGTCGCCACTCCAAGGTGCGACCGCATCCGTCGCGTGCATTTGTACGAGATTCAGAAGCGCGTAAGATTGCGGGGTATGCATGGGCGATCTGCACTAGTGTCCTTGTCTTGTGTACGCCTGGCTACTACTAGATTATCACAGGCCTTCGTATATATTCTAAATTCTGCTCGTCGAGATTGGGTTTTGGTTTCAAACGAGCGAGCGCCTGCTCGCCGGCACTTGCCGAAGCGTTCAGTTACCGTACGTGAATACTTTTTCGTACGATATCTGTTTGCCTCTGTACCACGACGTCGACACCACCGTACAGATCAACCAGAATGCCGCGTTTTCTATTCTAGCTGCCCTTGGCGACCTGATTTTGCTCTAAGAGTCGAACTTTATCGGAGCCAAGGCGGGATCCCAACTGAAGTGGCCCGACTCGACGACGAAGCGCTTCCGCAAGGGGTATCTCTCTCGCTCCGACATTGCTTCGTAAGTTCGATCTCACCGATGTTCCTGAATTCTTCATGCATTCGTTATATCTACACCCGTGCGTCTCGACCGGAGTTCAGGTATTACTAGGAAGTTGCTGTCGGACAACGGCAAACGCCCTCGGAGTCGTTCCCACCGCTGCTCTACCCGTTCGCGTGCTCGATAGCCTTCCGCCAGGGGCCGTCTCTCGCCTCCTTCTACATCTTCCGCGGGCTATACGCGGTCGCCAGGCTCTCTCCGTGCTTGTCATCTTGGAGCGCTGCATACTGTCTATCTGGCATTCTCCACCACATCCGACATCATTGCCGTCACGACGACCTCGCTCCGATCCTCCGCCCGCCCGCACATACGTATGTGCACGTCGGCAAAGGTGCGTACTACGTAGTCCGTGTCCGCGCCTCGCTGGCGGCGGCGGGTTCCTGATGTTCTTGCGTACCTACCTGCTTACTACCTGCGTTCCGAACTGCAGGCAGCCCTGAGGGATGCTTGTCAACCGCGCGCTTTCCGCTTCGAGACGTGGTCGGCGGGGCCTGTCGTGTAGCGGAAGAGAAGTGGTCACGCATAGGCGAATTCTGCCGGTGTATACGTGGTCCGGAGCTCCCCATAGGTCTATAGTGTGGTAACAAGGTCCGTGCTCTCTCCCTCGTCCCGACTGGCCATGTGTGTTACGACTGTATCGGATGGAGATGCTCATGAGGTCGGGAAGAACTACCCTCATTTCAAGGTTCCGCATTGCGCAAAGCAGAGCAGTCTGACATGTGCTCCCGACTCGTCTGACGAGGACCCATGACAGTCATAGATGACCCGATGAGCTTGGTTTGAGCTTGGGTTGAGACATCCTAGGGAGTTTAGAGAAAGCCTATTTCACTCAGAGTGTCTGCTACGCTCCGGATAGGCTGCTCGCCGGTTGTCATGGGTGAGTGCTGCGACCATGCGGAGAAGTTCATGACTTACAAACATGATTCCCTAAAGCGGGCACGCGCGATGTTCTCGGCCAACGCCGCATACCATGCGCAGTAGCGCGCCTCAATTCTCTGCGTTGCTATTTGTTCTCTTTGTCTCCGACCACGATCTAGGCCTCTTCTCCGTGCGGCGGAATCGCGCTATGTGCTCCGACCTTGAACGGCTCAACGCGATTCACATGGATTATAGTGAACGTGTACTTTGGACCCCATTATCGATACTGAACATTTTTGCATAGTGCTGACATCACACGCGAACCACATGGTGCGACGGAGCGAGGCCGCAGCTCTCCGTGCACCGGAAGTGGCAGACGACTTATGTGCCATCGTGAGCGCGGAACTCGGCGCGAAACCGACCGGCGAGCCACGACAGCAGCTTCTCTGAAACGCCTGGCCACAAGCTCGCGCGCTGTAATGGGGCTCGTATCGGCATCACGAGATAGCGCCCTTTGCAAACCCGAGCACACCCAACGTAGCTGGCTTCCCCCGTGCATGCGCTGATCACCGCTGGAAGCTCTGAGCTGATCACGCCGGCTCGACAAACATATGGTCCTGCCCCTCACCTGTTCATTGTCGGAATCGCTTCTGTCAATATCGGGGGCGTCCGCGGACGGAGCGCTGGACAACGGCGCCCGCATAGGCCAAGTGAAGATCCCTGATCCAGCAGGAAGGTTGGAGAAATGTATGTCGTACGCCACCCTCTTTCCACGTCTTCTTCCGCTCTTACCTATTTTAGCGAGGAGCAGCTTCCGGCTTTACGTTGCAGGCACCGAGCATCGGTTGGCGCTGGATATGCGATTTTCCTTCATTTCAGGATGCCGGTCCTTCCTTGTGCACGTTCCTGGGCCAACGAACATGCATTGATCGGAGTGCACAGCGCGCTCTAGACCGCGCCCCACTTTCTTACTCCAGCTCCTGCGGAGGTCGTTAGGACGACGGCGCTCGCCGCCATCTCCGAACCTTGGGACCCGAACCAAACCCGAGGCGTACCGCTCGTCTAACCAATCTCGTCAGGCGACACAAGGCATCTGCGTGCGCTCCAATCGCGCCCTCAGATGACTTGTTCCCTTGCTCGTGTCCTTCTCGTCGAGAGCTATTCTCAAGCGTCCGCGGAAAAACCGCCGGGGTCATGTTGTCGTGCATTCGTGGCGTGCATGTGTATCGCGCGGGTCCGGGTGCCATTGGCTGCTGTCCGAGGAGGGTTATCGATAGCCGCGGAAGCAGGATCCCGGTTCGCACCATCAAGAGTGCCGTATATGTCTTCTCTCCTCAGGTCTCGCGACACCTGGGCGCGCGGGGACGGTCCTTCCATTTTGTTTTTTCGCCTCACCACCCCGGTCTTTTCGCGCAGCGCCTCGACTCCGGTTCCCCTCCGCGCGCCGACCATTGGACGGCGTCGTGTGCCTTGCTTCGCACGAGGGCCACTCCGACGCGGTACCAACCCCGATGCGCCCATCGCCGGCTCCGTAGGTTTTACGCAGCGTGATCCACCGCGGCGCCACTCTATTCCATATCGTCCAGGTTTGGGCGGAGGACGATATGTATAAAGGTGTGTCGCGTCGAGGCCTTGATCTGTGTCGTGGGCTGCATTCCTCCTACCCCCCGAGGCACTCCCAGCGCACACCGCGGCATACCGCTCTCCGTCTCTGGCCCTCACGATGTTCGCCTCCCGCACCCTCTTTGCCCTGTCGACGCTCGTGGTCTCCGCCTTCGGTGCGACCTACACGCAGACCGACAGTCACCAGGGCTCCGGCTTCCTCAAGTCGTTCACGCACCAGGCCATCGCTGACCCCACACACGGCAGAGTGTAAATGCTTCCAACGCGCTACGCCTTGGCCCGCGGACTGATTGCGGATGCTGTTGTAGGAACTACGTCGATCAAACAACCGCGCTCGCGCAGAATCTCACCTTTTCGTCTGGGGACCATTTCGTCATCCGCGCCGACGACACCACCGTGCTGAGCGCGAGTGGCCCGGGACGGAACTCCGTGCGCCTGCAGAGCAACAAGCAGTACACGACGCACGTCACTGTGTAAGCGCACCCGTTATAGCTCGCTCGAGCTTTCCCTGCAGCATCGCTCACTCTCCGCCTGCGGCCAGGTGGAACATCCGTCACATGCCCCAGGGATGCGCGTGAGTGGCGGAACGTGTGTTTCGTCAATAGAGCCCTCTTTGACAGGCGTCTGCAGCACATGGCCCGCGCTGTGGGAGGTCGGTGCAGACTGGCCCAACCAAGGTCGGTCCCGATCCCACGCGAAGCGTGCTGAGTTTGGAGCCCGTGATTCTGACGTCTCCACAGGCGAGATCGACGTGCTGGAGGGCGTCAACGACCAGAGCCCGAACCAGTCTACGCTCCACACCAGCTCCGGTAAGTCACCGGCCTCAAAGATTTCCGCTCTGTTGCGCTATATCTGGACTCACGTCGTATTGCCGCAGGATGCTCGATGCCTGCGTCCCGTTCGCAGACGGGGTGAGTTCTGTCAGTCAGTGAATCCACCATCATGTGTGCTGACGCCACCTCAGGACCTCCGGCTCGAACAACTGTGACGTCGCGGCCACAAACAACGCGGGATGTGGTGTGACGGCGAACAAGGCCAACAGCTACGGTCCAGGGTTCAACAACGCCGGCGGAGGCTGGTAAGTCCAATGCCACCCGCGCGGCGATGGGCGCCCGGCCATGGACTCACGCTTATCGCGTACGTTCCGCAGGTACGCAATGGAGCGCACGACCTCATTTATCAAGGTCTGGTTCTGGTCGCGCACCGACGGCTCGGTGCCCAGCGACGTCTTGAACGGCGCCACCTCTATCAACACGGACAACTGGGTAAGCCCGCTGCTTCGCGGATGTCGCCGCTGACAGGAGCGCCACCACTGACGTCGCTGTGATTCGTAGGGCACGCCGTACGCGTTCTTCCCCAGTCAGTCGTGCGACCTGAACTCGCACTTCGGCGAGCACAACATCATTATCAACCTTACGCTCTGTACGTCATTGCCGAGATAAGCACGGGCTAGCTAATTGAACTTACTCATCTGCCTTCACCTCAGGCGGCGACTGGGCTGGCGCTGTATTCAACCAGGACGGATGCTCCGGGAACTGCGTCGGTAAGCATTCCCGCCGCGCGCCGCCGACGTGGGCGCATCCGCTGATCGCCACCCGCCTCTGCATTCCAGACTTCGTGAACAACAACCCGTCCGCGTTCACGAACGCGTTCTTTGACATCCAGTGGCTCAAGATCTACGGGTGAATCCCCCGTACTCTCCCCGCTGCTGGGCAGCGGATGATCCTCCCCGCGTCAGCGAACGCGTCGATAGCGGAGCATTCACGACGCACGCGACGATCTCTCCTCCTCTCTGGGTCTTTCATACCTTTCCCCTTGTAGCTGTTCGTGTATCATTAGCAGGGTTGTGATGTGCGTTGTTATGTAGACATTATGAAATCAATGCGAGCACACCTGTGGTGCTGCCGCTTTCGGGATTCCTTCCACTGCGCGCGGGTTGACCAACTCTGTAAGAGCTCGGAAGAGCAAAAAGGGCCTGGCCGGGAATTGAACCCGGGACCTCCTCCAAATGCTGATTGAACCGCCCTAAGAAGGAATCATACTACTAGACCACCAGGCCATGAAGTGGTGCACGTGCATGCGCATATCAACCCGGGCAAAATCTGGGAGAAGTCCTCGCGAACATCTGGGCGTCAGATGTCTGGCCATTTGCCAGGCCCCTGGAGAACGACACTTGGTACCTGAGCCTTATCCATGCGAGCGATGTAGTTTTTAATCCGATATGGTGTAGTGGCTAACATTATCGCCTCTCACGCGATAGCCCGGGGTTCGATTCCCCGTGTCGGAATTGTTTTTGCCTCAAATCACTGGTCAGCCTCTCTTCGCTCCCTTCGCGATTTCACTCTGTAAGGTGAAGCAGTGGCGAAAGACGCACCCAGGGCCTTCGTTCTTCTAGACCTTTGCACACAGATAGACACAAGAGCAGAGATCATGCCTCCAGACACCTCGCCACAACTCTCGATGTTCAAGGACTGCCTGGCTCGCCGAATCCTCGCCGAACCGGACATAAATGCGCCGTCTCAGCCTGATACTCAGGACGAGTCCGATGCTCTCGACGACTTCTCAGAATACCTCGCACACGAGATATGGTCAGCGCTGCCTCAAGCTTTGCGCGAGGCGACGTATGAGGATCGAGAGAGTGTTCCGGAAGCTGACGACGTCGACTTGGACAACATCCCCACCGCCTTTGCGGATACCCTCACATCCTGCGGTATCTCTTACGACGAAGAGGACGCTATCGCCTTCCTCCGCAGAACGCTCAAAGACTACGTCACAGAGGCGTGTGCACCGCGGCCGGTGTGGTCCAGCACCCGCACGAAGGAGTGCGAGATCTGCTCGCGCGAGGTCCCTCTCACGTACCACCACCTCATCCCGCGCGAGGTCCACACCAAGGTCCTGAAGAGGAAGTGGCACTCAGAGACGATGTTGAACTCCGTAGCGTGGCTGTGTAGGTATGCATCCGCACCAAAGTGTTCAATGGCGGAGCGACATCTGATACTTTGCATTCATAGACCTTGCCATACGGCTGTGCATCATGTCGCCACCAATGAGGTCCTTGCGAAGGAGTTCTATACCATCGAGCTTCTCTTGGCCAGAGAGGACATTCAGAAGTGGCGACGCTATGCCGCAAAACAACGTTTCGGAGTACGGCGCGGATGAGGGATGAGTGACGTCTCGCGCAGTAGCTTGGGTAAGTCATCAAATGTGCCAGAATATGCGCAGCATATGCTGACAACTTATAAGGTCGGTTTGGTGGACTCTTGGTCCGTCTCTACTGCACTTCGATCTGTAGATGGTCGTGTTAGCGATAACCAATCCTAATATTACTTCGTAACCTTTTCACCAGGCCCACCCGGCCCCAGGGCGATCATAGCTCGAGTCACCTACAACGGACGCCCCTCCGGCACCGATACGCAGCTGCTAATCTTAGCCCTCGCCGACTGCGAAAATGTCGAAGATGATGCGTAAATTGAACAGCGACCTTGAATGGCATCGGCACGCGGTGATCGTGTGTAGATCGCAAGGTGGCAGGCACAAGTTCTGTAATATCAAGTCCGGCATCAACCGTAGTCTGATCAAACGACCGACTCACTTTATATAAACAGATACCACTCCGGGGAGCGTTTGAGTATTGCCCATGGTCATGGCGTTCCGACCAAGCTTCCTCGCGTTGTTCGCTCTTGCCTGCTTCATCACAACGAGGACTGCTACCTCCTCGCTCATCTTGCAGGCCCGACAGTCAGACGTATGCGGTGCTACCGACCTGGCTTGTCCCGGAAACGGACTCGCATGCAGCTCGAAGTGCACTTGCATCGACCCTTTTGCTACCGGACACGGGGTAAGAACCGTCCTACTTCTCGTGCCGATCGAAGCATGTGCCCTTACACATTGCATCTAGACATGTGTACCGAGCTCCTGCATTAGCCAGGAATGCAAGTCCGACGATGACTGTTGTAGCACGCCGCTCAAGTTTGTCTGCTTGATCGATTCGGAATTCTCCATCAACGTACGTGGGTCGATACATACTACACTGTGGGCACCAGCTGAGCGAATGATTCATGTACATAGATTTGCGGGCCTACGCTTCCGCCTGGCGAGGCGGCACGCTGAATGAGTCCCGAGCACAAAGACGTAGCTCGAATCATGATTCTTGCGTATATAGACCGCTGGCTCTATCGCAGTAGCCCGTTGCTCAAAGTACATGTCTGTGAAAGAGTTTCAGGATCCTGAACGCTAGTGCAAAAGCGAACTAGTACGCACCTGTGATAACGGTTCTCGAAATCCGTAAGGTCGTGCATGCCAGCCTCTGCCGAGGAAAACTCATTGTGAGCAGACTGTGCAATATCGCGCGCGTACTCGCATACCTTCTCCCTTGAGCTGATCCTCGTGCGACGTTACTTTTCCATGCTCGCGATCGCGCTGCGAGAAGATGAGCGTCGCCGCAAGCAGAGCGCTTCGGTCAACCCACTGACCTTGATGTTACTCCATAGCATGTAGAGCCCGAGTGCAATGTGAGCAACTAGATACACGGCGTTCAGCGTGCGTTCGTGACTGGAGGCCGCCGCTATTTCTTACCAGTCTCGATGATATAGCCTGAGGACATTTTTGGAAAACGCTTAGATAGTGTGTAAAACCGGGACATTTTTACGCACTTATGAACATCGCCATCTGCGTTGCGTTCGTTGCGCATCAGTGAGTGACCTCAGGGTATTCGGAGCCAACGCTACTCACCGTGCCCGTCCTGTATCTCGGGGCCTCGCTGTCCTGCAGAAATTGAGACCAGCTCTTCGAGACTGACATCTAGTATAAGAACACTCACTATCAAGAAATGGGGCCTGCATCGGCAAGTAAGCGTCCCGCGAATTCGAATATTCTCAGTCGACGTACCCGATGACATTTCCGACACAGTACTATACCAGGCATGTCAATACCACCCGATCTTCCATGCCCTGGGAGGTACTCGACGCACGCCGATGAACATCACAGCCGTCGTGACCGTTTTCTTCGTGAATCCTCCGACCTGTCATCCGCCCGAGCCTCAGGGTGAGCGCGCGGATACAAACGTATGCTAGCACTTACGTTGTTCGCAATCACAACTAGAGAGAGGGCGAATCCGACAGTCTGTACAGTGCATGTTAGCACGGAGCGGCCACTGGTAGGAGACGTAGATGCGCCTACCTGGAACCACATAAACCAAAATGCGACCAGGCGACTCCACTTCTGATCGGAAGGGAGGTACGTCAGGAACGCCGCAGCTATGATACAGACTATATTGCTGGCGGTCATCGTTATGATGCGTACTGCAAGCGTAGAGCCCGTGTCAGTCGTGAATCAGCGGCGGAAAGCAGCGTTGTGCTTACTGTTCTTGAACCGCATGCAGATCCACCTAGGCACTAGAGTCAGACTCAGTGTGCGTGATTATCGAGGCATGGCGACATTCACCCTGCAGCGAGGAGAGTCACGATCTGAACCCCGGACGACACCGCGTTGAGGAGTGTGGTTTGCAAGGTAGTGAAGCCCATTCCCTGCGTAGATGTGTTAGGCATGCGTAGACACAAGCGAAGAACGCGCCGGCTGCTCTTGCCTTGATGATGATGGTAGAGAAATTCGTCAAAAGCCTGCCAAACACACTGTCAGCGCTGCCCTGGGCCACGACGGACCCGCTACCGTGCGTACCCGTTCGGAATCTGAGCGGCGAAGGTGCCAATGAACAGGAGCCAAGTCTTCGGATCGACCAAGGCATGTCTGATCTAGTGGGTCCTGGATGTCAGGGATTGCGTACTACGGTCACGCAAGACTTCTGCGTACCTGGTACCATTTGAACTGGGTATTCTTGACACCAAGCTTCGCTTCGGCCACACGCTTCACCGCGAGGATCTTCTCTTCGGGGGTGAAGAAGCGTGCGTCGACCGGAGAGTCGGGGAAGAGGAACCAAAGGCCGACCGCGACTGACGCGGCGTTAGAACTGAGTACTCACTATGAAGGCTAGCGTGGACTCACAGATGACGCTGATCCCTCCGAGAATGAGGAATATGTACTTCCATAGGGCGATTTGTGGATTCTCGATGTGCCCGACCTGACCGTCGGTTTCGCATCAGGCAGTATGGGACATAATCGAAATGCAGTACTCACGCCGTACGCCACGAAGCCGCCCAGTATGCCTGCCCACCCGTTGAACGAGTACCAGACGAGAGCTCGAAAGGGAACCTCGTTTTGCGCGTACCAGATTGACGTGAGAAGAGTGAGGCCAGGTGTCACGATGGCCTCAAGAAGTCCCAGGAAGAACCTTGTCGTGTCGGTTCATAAGTCACCGTTGTCGGCGGCCGACGACTCCAGGACTCTCACCTGTTGGCCATGGTGCCGGCGAAGTTTGTGCATGCCGGAGTACTGAGGGGATCCTGATTAAACCACGAGCGCGTTCTCGCAGAGGCAAGAGAGCACGCACGTAATCACGATCCCTCCCCATATGAGAGTCGCTCAAGAGGGTGTCGGTGATGGGGAATTCGCAGATGCAGGTCGTGATACTCACTCGTCGCCAGTACCTTTCCCGTGGGGAAGTGCTGCAGCAGCCAGCTGTCCGGATAGTTTCCTACAAGGTAGCCGAAGCTGCCCATGCGAATGGTTCACGTCGTACGTAAACTCCGCGGAGGACCGCACTCACTAGAAGACTGGAGAACGAGCCAATATTAGCGCGAACAACGGTTCCAAACCGATCGTGCGATACGTACTGCTCGCAAACCAGCTAAATTGGTCTCCGGACACATTTAGCGCACTCTTCATGCCGTACAGATTGCCATAATTCAGTCTGTGTCCGCGCGCAGTCAGCCCCCGTCCAGAAATAATGCGGCTGGTGAGGCGTACGCAGTCTTGTCCACTGTGAGCGCAATGAGGTTAGTAGCATTCTGTGCCCGAGCTCCAGGGTGATGACTTACAAAAGCTAAGACCTTGGGCCAGACAGAGCTGTATGCAACAGACGTTGAACGCGTACAACCTAGAATTCAGGCTGTCAGATCACGTACCATCGGGAGGATCCAGATGTCTATCTTTCTCGAGATCCTA